CATCACCTTTCCAAGCAGGGCTTCGGTGTGCTTCAGCCTGGGAGCCTGGCAGCTTGTTTGCACCATCTATTCCATTATTACGGTTCTCGTTTCCCTTCGGATTATTATTGCCATGATAAAATGGACTTCCATGTTTTTGAACCTGCAGTGCTTAGTGTTTCTTGATCATCACAACCGGGGGACTGATGCCAGTGGTTCATATGAACTGCTGATTAGGGTAGAAAATTCAGAACCGAATGCCACTGAACTTCCTATTTATATTTGTAATTTCCATCAAAATAAATGGAATTTAAGAACTGCTTCATCACTTGCTGATAGAGGCCTCTTAAAAAGGAGAAACTTTCATTAGCAGTAAAAACCCCACCAGATGAATGGTCCTAAAACATGGGTCTACAATGGCAACTTCGGTCTTTCTTGAAAATACTTGCTAATTCTAACATTTCTCTCTGAAAAAGTGGGTGAATATTCACATGCGCAGACATTTTTTTAAGATGGGAACTTTATATCCAAAATTGTAGACTGATAGGTTTTTTTTTTTTGGTGAAACGTTAGCTTAGTGATACAAAAATGCAGCATTTGATAGAACTGTACTTCAGCACTTAGCACAGCTTGTAATTATTTGAGTGTTCACAAGCTGTAAAAGCATAGGTTATGAAATTCTAATAACTCAAGAGTAACCTGCACTCTTAAAGATCTCATAAGATGAAAATTATGCCTTTCAAAAGTGCAAGTGTGATGATTAAATGGTTTTAAAGAAGTATTTTTAATATTAGTAAATATGCGGTTGGCTGGAGTACTGAATAACGTTCTAATTTTTGTTAAGCTGGCAGAGGGAAAATACTCCCCCCCCCCTTGGTTTGGTGCTTCATCCACGTGCATTTGAAAAAAACCTCCTACCTGTAGTTTCAAAGATTCTGCTAAAAAGATAAGTTTCCCAAAAATCTTTCCTACCACTTCATGACTAGTGACATGCGTTTGAGGTTCAAATGTCGACAGTCAGTCTTTGAAAAGAAAATTAATAAATTGTCCAGTGTGTTTAATGACCACAGTTTTGCTGTAACTGGAGTAGAAGTTTTAGGAGTCATACTGTCAGAATCTATACATCGTTGGTGTAATTTTTAAACTCATCCTAGAACAGCTTTGCTGAATCTCTGTAGTGTGGTGCTTCAAATAAATGCGCAGGTTTGTTTTATTTGTTGGGGAAAAAAAGCTATATAATTTTTCATTTGGATAGAAATCGTGGCTCTTAATTTAAAAAAAAAAAAAAACCAAAGATGCATCTGTTTAATTATAAATACCAGGTAATATGTGAAAACAGGCTTCAGTGGTGTTTTGTTCAGTGAAGCAAAATTCTTAAGGGGTGTTTATGTTGTAGTATTAGAATGCAAGTAATATTTTTTACTGAAATGTTAGGATTTTAATGAATTTAGACTGTACCAAAGGCCAGCACAATTTTTTTTGAAGTCTCTTTTCAGTTTCAATTCCTTGTGAAACATTCCCTTTTAGCAGGATCAGAATGAACTAAAACAAAAATTGGTGTTTAATGTTAACTGTTTCTAAAACTTCTTCAAATCAAAATTTCTTCAGAGGTTTGTTTTTTTTTTTTTCCCCCTCAAAAACAAAAAAAACCAAAGCATTTTTTTCTGAATCTGATGGTAAAAGCGTAGCTACTCTCTTTGTTTTTCAAGTAAATTCTGTTGAAAGGACAGAGTACACGAGAACAGCACCTCTCTTCCCAGCAGTGCATCCTTGTTGCTGATTAACTGCAAAATTCATTAACAACAATGATAGCAACTGGTGAAATGTATTTCATTGCTTATTTTGACAGGCAACCTCTAGTGAATTACTTTTTTTTTTTTTTTAAATTGAAGTCAAGCAGCTCGCTAAGACCTGCATTTTAAGCCTTTAAGAAGGGACAGCAGGTCGTGTGTTTGGGGGGTTTTTTGGTGTGTTTTGTTTTGGCAGATAGAGACTACAAAGTGTGGATGAGCTAAGTTCTGTTGTGCCCTAAGGTCCTTTTATTTTCTTATCCATGCATATTCTTTATTTGAAAGACAAGAGGCTTGATTCTCAAAGGAAAATGCAAGGAATTGGGTTTAGATTATTCTCCAAACAGGGTTATCTTCCAGCATCTTCCCTGCTTAAGTCGGATGTGTAAATACGCCTGTGGTTTGCATCTAGACTCTGAAACTACAGCAGCCTTTTGAAGGTGTATCTTAAAGTCATTGCTAAGTGGCGCAGAATTATGATGCAAATCTGGCCCTTCTGCCTCCGTACCTGCGTCTGCGTTGAGTGTAACCCTTGAAAATGTATGCTGGAGTCTTCCCGCTCCTCCTTTGGTAAGAACAGGGCTGGTGAGTTGAGCTTCACCAGGTTTGCAGGGCGGTACCACTCACTAGTTTGTAATTAAATAAAACAAAATCTGATTTTTAAGAGTTCTAGATCTAAGGTGATATCCACGCTTTGGATATTAGGTGACATGTATGTTAGCTGGTTGATTAAAGGACTGAATTTTGCCAAAAGAGTACAAGTAGCCAATACTGTCCCGCTGAGATGGGATTTCAAGAGTTTTATTCCTAGTACTGTGGGTTCATGATTTTCTAGGTGTTACTCTGCTTCGTTTTACTCCTTATTTAAATTTATGCACCTTTTTTCAGTCTTAAAGCCTCTGCGAGTGTACAAAACATAGCAGACTCTTAGAAACCAAGATCCTTGCATTCGGGATCTTGCAGGTCTTCAGAATAGCTTTAATAAAATGAATCTTGGGCAGTTAATTCTTAGTCATGGTCACAAGAGAAAAAAAAAAGAAGCTGAATACTTTTAGTGAAAAAAATTCTGAAATACAACAATGAAAGTGTTGATGCACCAGGATCTCTTCAAGCCATCTGAACTTGGTTTTCATCTCTTTGTTCTGCTGTTTAATGCTAATTGGGCACTGACTTAGTGCAGTTTTCAGAAGAAAAATGGAGGCATTTGAACAACCATTCTGTTAATCATTCATCTCTCGTCATTTAAATATTCATTTCATAATCATGCAGAAGTTTAAAAGTAAACTATTACCTTGCAGTAGCTTTTCCAGGCTTCCGAGCGTCATTTGAAAAAAGAAAAGAAACCTCAAAATGTAACTCATTTTTAAAACTGACTCGTACTGATCAGCGAGTCATTAGGAGAATTTTTACCACGAACAGTCAGCTTCGTACGGGACGGTTCTGAAACACTGGAAATCATTTGTAAAAGTCGACATACTCTTGTGTAAAATGTGTAATAGATGTGCTTTAGTCTCTGGTTTTGGTTTTTTGTTTTGTTGTTTTTTTTTTTCCCCTGAAATTTTACCAGTCCAGGCACAGAATTTACTCACCCATTTGTATCATCGTGCTGGTGAATCATGAGGGAAGCAATCTTCTTCTTGTAAATATGTTAAAAAAAAAAAAAATTATTTGCCCCTGGCTATTGAAGGAAGTAGAATGAGGTACTTTACTTCTTTGAATTCAGAAGTTCTTAAGATTAGAAAGCTGTTATTTTTTAACTGGGCTTTAGCCTGAAAAGGGGAATATTGTGTCAAATCAGGAGACTGAGGAAAATAATTGGAGAGACCTAGCCCTGCCGCGGTCATTTGGAGAGGAGTGATCAGTGTGTAGAGCTGCCTCTGTGGCTCTTGGTGTCTGAAGCGTGTTTTACTATACCCTTCCTGAAGTAGTAGTGTAAAGAACCAAAACTGAAGCGTTGAAATTTAGGTGACTTTTTTCAGAAGAAGACCATATAAATGTCTTTAAAATTAAAAAAAGAAATTTAAAATCTCCATTCTCTTTGAGATTAAACTGGCCTTTGTCAGGAGAGGGAACTCTCCTGTGGTTGGGGTTAGGAGTGTTGGCGTGTGGGTGTGGATCAAACCTTGGGAGCCTTCGGATTGTGCGTGTTCTCACCACACCACCTCAGCTCATGTTGTTGCTAGAGGTAATTTCTCCCATATAGTATTTAAGTTTTGGTGTTTGGTTTGGGTTTTGTGTGTTTTGGTGTTTTTTTTTTTTTTTTAAATGTTGTGACAATTATTAAAGCTCCCAGGACCCCCTGCTAAATAGCGTGGTGTATAGATTTAAAGAAGAAAGACCTAGGTTGTTTCTGATCGCAGTCTGGACGGGCTGTGGTATTTGCAGAATGGAAGTTGGAGGCTGCTGTGCGTCTGCCCAGCGCTAACACCTTTACGCCTTAGAGGTAGGAGAGGGTTCTTAGTTCCAAAACCGTGATCTTTATAACGTTAATGTAAGAACAAGGTGTTCAGTAACGTATTGTAGCTTTTGTGCAAGTCATCTGCCATAAACCATGGCATGATTCAGACCAGGGTTCATAGTTCCTTCTTTGTTCCTTTGTTAATCACTGACTTGTGGGAGGCGCCTGCAGAATTTGCTAATGCATTCTTTTTGGGTAAGGATGACGCACAGATTGTCCTAATAAGGACTTAGTTTGAGAAAGGGGCCGTCTTCTTTGAGAAGATAGGGGCAAGTCATAGGGCGAGCAGTTTCTTTTTTAACTGAGGGATGACACAAGCACAAGTCATTTCCTTATTAATCGGTTCAAACCAGTTCTTACAGGAACCGCTGGTGATAAATGTGGGACTTCTGAGAAGTCATTCATTTTATTCTCAGCACTGCACCAGTGCACAGCCTCAGCTGGCTTCTCCTGGCTTTAAGGAAATGCTCTAGCACGCAGCTTCTGTGTTACCAGCAGTGTATCGTCACTGGTTTGCTCTGAAATATTTTTCTTTTTGAGGATCTGGGGAAAAAATGTCCCTTTCAGAAGTGTCAGATAAAAAAGATGAAATACGCTTTATTTCATGGTTATCTGCTTTCTCAAGTAGCAAAGCCCTTCTGAGCTGTAGCTCAGGCTGAACTTTGTTCTGTTTGGGTCAAAGTGGTAAGTTTAAAAAAAAAATGTTTTTTGTTTTTGTTTTTTTTTTTTTCTCCCCTATTTTGTCTTGTTCTCTGGGATGAACTTTGCATCAGTGCTATTCCAAGTATAGGTCCTTCTCTTCAGAAGCCATTTCAAGAATATTTGGAAGCTCAGAGGATAAAACTTCACCACAAATCTGACAGTGGCGTGCCACAGGTAAGACCCTCTCTGCCTCCCTCCCCAGTGAATTTTTCCCTTCTCTAGCTGTCTTTTGACTTGTCAGGTTTACCGATGTAACTCTTGATTCTGTTTTTCAAAGATTTGCAGTGGCTCAGGGAATAGATAAAAATCTCATTTTAGAAGCAACCTGGGAATTAAAAATAATACTGTAATTGTATGCAGCTGGACTTAAACCTCTTGGAGAATAAAGAGGACGATAAAGCAACACCAGTGGCACGCCTTGCCTCTGTATTAGCGTGCTAGTTTGAAAGAGAAGTTTAAGCAGAAAAAGGTTGCATTTACATGTGAAATGGTAACAAACTGTGTGCAGCATCAATACTTCAGAAGCCACTGTGGCTTAATGGCCAATAAGAAACAAAATCCCCAAGCCTTTACTGTTCGAAAGGAAAAGAAAAATAAATACGGTGGTTAGAGCTGGTACAAAGGGGCAGAAGTGTCTTTTCATAAAAAAAAAAAAAAAAAAAAAAGACTATTTTAAAAAACATACCCTGAATTTTCAGTGGGGACAGAGCAACTTTGACATGAGATTCCTTAGGATACCCAGGGCATTTTTAGATAAAATGCGTTAATCTAACTCACATTTCACATTTAATACTCATGGCTCTTATAAATGTTTCTTTGCCCCCCCCCCCCCCCCCCACCCTCTCTCTTGTCTTTTTTT